GGTTATGAGCTAAAGAAGTTATAAAAATAATTGGTAGGTTTGGAATTAACCAAAATATTTTTTGAATAATATTTTTCTTTAAGACAATATCTAAATTTTTTTTTTTGATTATGTAAAGTTTTAAAGATTTTATTTTTTATTTTTTTTTTATTTAAACTTTTTTAATATATATACTTTTTTTGATTCTCAAAGTTGTTTTTTCGTTTTCAACAATTACAATTGTTTATTAAAGTTTTTTTTGTTTTTAAAAATTTTTTAAATGTTTTTTTCTTTTTGTGTTTTACTTTCATTACTCATTTAAATATAAATGCCCAAAACCTTCCACCCAATTCCTTATGCACAACAAACTAAAACGGTCAACAAAGAACAAGGGCGTGCCAAGTCAATATCATAAGCTGCAGCGGCACTAATGTGCAACAAGTTCAGCCGCGCGCAGTTAACGTCAATTTTATGCTGCAGCTCAAACATAGTATATATGCACACAAGCACACATACAAGCTTGCAAGTATGCGCATATTACAGCATAAATATGCGCCTGCGCGCAATTGCATTGACTCGAGCGCTCGGAGCTTTAGTTATGAGGCGAGTCGGTGTGGCACGCGCTAAACTGGATTTCGTGTTTTCTGTGGCATTATTGTGTTACGGTTTTTTGTGCCTTTTCAATTATCGTTCAGCTTTTATGCTTTTTTTTCATTTTGTATTGTTGTTTTGTCTTCTTTTTTTATTTTTATTTTTATTTTTTTCTTATTTTTTTTTTCTTTATTAAAATTATTCTCATACAAAGCACGGGTGTGGTAATAAATGTCTAAATAAGCGGTATCTCGTTACCGTTTGTGGCAGCAGCAGACATTTGGGGCGTTTGCTGTGGCCGAAATAATGCCAAAACGCTGGTCACTTGGTCAAGCGGACAGCAAAATTGGGCGTGTTTCTTACGTATTTTATGCAGGCATTTGAGTTTAGTACATTTATTTATTATATTCATTGTTTATTGTTGTAAATTTTTTTTAGTGATTTTTTGAATTTAAAGCAATTAATGCAATACCTGCCTTTGCCAGTTAGCATCGTAAAAAATAATAATTGTTAGACAAATAAAACACTTTTTAAAATTAAAAGGATAAAAAATAATGTAA